ATCTTAAATAAGCTTATATTCTAACATTTATTACTTATTGTAAATTCAACAAAGATGGCCTCGTTTTACATATCAAACTTAATTGGAAATACTAAACCCATAAAGCTAGACATTGATAATTTTATTCTTAAGGAATTAATTTTAATTAGGTAAGTTGAACACTATAATTAATGAACGTAAGATCATTGAAACAATATGAAACTAAACTATTGTGAAAATGTTATATTAAATACGTTATAGTGTGTAGTAATATTGTAAATGACATTTTAATAATATTATATAATAAGATTTTTAGATTTTAAGAGTAGCTCGGTGGCGTAGTGGATAAGCGCCGCGGCCCGCGATCGTAGTCGTTAAGCAACTTTCGCAAGGGTCGGTCACGGGATGGGTGACAAAAAATTCATAGTCCATCCTCCTTAACCATCCATAAGGAAGGTCTGAACCCCTGCAGTGGGGACGTAAAGGGGCTGGTGATGATAATGATGATGAATAAGATTTTTATTTGCATTAGCAATATCAAGGTAGATGTTTTGATTAAGACCTAGAGTTTATGAAGTTAGGGCTATAGAGTTAGGGCACGTAGAGTGAAAAGCCTAGCTCTATGTATTTAAGATCTGAAAACTCCTACAGTACGATCTACATGATGTCATCTTGGCAACATTTTCCATGAATATGTTTTTGGTGAGGTTCTTTTTATACGTTTCTATATACCAGTCACACAAACGTCTATTAAAATTCTCATTTGTTCAAATCAAGAACATTTATTAGAGGCTTAAAGTACGTTTGTGCAACTGATCGTACGAGTGCGACAATATTTAGATGTTGTTCAGACAATTCTTTAAATAAATATTTTATACTATTGCTTCAATTTATCTTTAGAGTCAATAAAAAAAATCAAAGCAAAAATTAAAATATTACAAAACTATGAACGAACCTTCACATGTTATTAAAAATTTGTATGTAACTGCAAATACATTCTATAATTTTCATATTATATTGTAGCAACAGGGCGATGAACTCTGATTTCCTTTTTCTTTTATCTGTATCTTGTTCACGATAATAATGAAGGAAAGGACAAAACAAGTAAATGTTGTTCGAAACCGGAATGATCGAAATTGCATAAGACCATGCGTTCGGGTAACACACAACAGCCACTGTCGAGGATAACGACCCCGAGAACCTTAATTTTTTTTTTAATACCAACTGTCGATTTTGCTTTTATTTTTACGACGAACGCAAGTTATTTAATTTCATATGAAAGCTCGCTACAAAATTCCTTTGTTGGAATGTAAAATGGATATGCAAATTTATTGTAATCCCTTCGAAAACTATTAAATGTTAAATCTATGGAAGTCCGATCAAATATTTAATTGAATACTACCAGGAAATCTATATTTATAACATCTATGAAGCAATATGACATTATAATTAGGTATGAACTTTCAATTTGTTGATTAGATCAGTTAAATAAATAAATACTAAACAACATCACATATATTGCTCACATCCGAAATTAAGTAGATAAAGCACTTGTATTAAGGAAATCTGAAACAAAGAAGGTAGCAGTTGTGCTACCTACCCAGACATTTATTTATAATTCAATTATTTTTAACTGAGATTTTTGTGTAGTGCCAATTGGCTTCCTCAAAATAAAGAAGACTACATAGTCTTCTATCATAATTTTAAAGCAAATTTTAATAACTTGAAAACACGGTTCTTTGATTAATGGTTGGAAGAATAAGATTTATTTGTTTAAAATGTGACTCTGAAGTCTCTAACAAAGTTTAAAAGTAACCCAAGGGAAAGTAAGAACAGCAAAAGTTTTGTGATTTCATGAATAATGAAGAGCTTTTTTAACAAATAACAATGGAGTCTTTGATTTTTTGTAAATTATTCGATTTTTTTTCTTTATCAAATCGTGTATATGCATGACAGACGACATTTATCCTTCATAATGTTTTATAAAAAAAAAACATTATTTTTCTTCAAAATGAATACCTGAGAACACTTTTAATGAATAGATACTAATTAGCTGTTTTCCCGCGACTTCGCCCGCGTAAACTTTGGCCTATGCCACCAGTTTGTTGTGACTTCCTATAGATGCAAGAATTTAAAAAAAAAAATTATACTATGTATGGATTATCCATCCGATATTAAGTTTAATATTTACTGGTATATAACCATACTTCATATAGATTTTTTATTTTAGAACAATATGTACAGTAGTGTGAGTAGACTCTAAGATGATTTGCTGAAGTGCTCATATTATCTGAAACAACAAATTTACCTAAACATCCAAATCCTAGACAATATAAAAAAAAAATTTGAAAAATATTTTCAACTAACTCTGAAAGGGAATTGAATATGAGACCATAGAAATCGCGACACCTTGAAACTGTCTGAGACACTCAGCCTCGAAAGCCTTTTTAATGTTATAAAGAAGAAAGATATGATTTTTTGTTTGTTTGGATAAAATCAAAGGAACTGGAGCGATATTAAAATTTCTTTGACTAATATAAAGCTATATTAACAACTAATAACTTAGACTATATTCTATTTTGAGAAAAGGGCGGTAATCTGTTTGTGCGGAGAGTTTGTAATGTATAAACCAACTACCGCGGACCAAAGGTGGTTATGGTTTAACTAACATTATATATATAAGTATAGACCTATTCTATACAACATTATAGTATAGACCTATTCTCTCACAAGTTATAAACTACTAATCATAATTTTACAAATTATCAATAGTTATAAGCGCATTGATTTTCTTCTGATTGTGGGCTCTTTGACGTCATATGAAATTAATATAGCACCCTCTAAATGATATAAGGTCATGAAAAAAAAATAATTATGACGCCGTGAAGGCTATTGTTGTTTGATACCCACATAACCTATAATAGCCTATACCCTATAATAGCCTATAATTAGAAATAATTTTTATATACTCTTCAAAAAAATAAAGCAACTCTACGATATTTAAAATTAAAGAAAAGTGATTATCTTAAAAAATATATATTCCCAAGTGATTAGTGTATTCAGTGATATCACCGTAAGTTATTTACCGGTATTGGTAAACCTTTATTACCCTTTACTATTTCAAAGAATATGTGTTATTTTTTTCGTCTTGGCGTCATTTATTAGCGAACCTATATTGAGAAACCGTTTAGGTACAGTAGACAACATATCAATTACTAAAGAAATCAAAATATCTCCAATGATTTTTAAACATTATTTAGGTACCTATGTAGTTGATAATAATGATGAAAATATAATACCTAAGCAATAACAAATAGTGTAAATATATTGAAAACCCATGGGGTGATAATATCAAATATGTCGCAATTCTGCATAAGAACAAAATAGACAAATATCCTTTAAAATTACGTGTTCATTTCCATAAATCAACATTTCTTAGCCTTTCTTTTCTATAGCACCCTAAAAAATTAAGAATGACGTATATGTTAATTGACAGCTTACGTGAGTGTCAACTTTTCTTTAAGCTGAAATGAATACCAGTAAAAAGGTTTATCCAGCAACTTGTTTCACTCATCTCATTATTTACCAAAAACTCAAGTTAATTTGACACGGATCGTAATCTTTTTATAAACTATAAATATTTAAATAATAAAAAGAAGATTGACACAAACAATTTCACTACTTCCTTTTTTCGTGTCAATATAATAGTTTCAATATGTAAACACTAAAAATTCCTAAACTATTGTATTACGGGAAACCCGGCTAGGCGAACACACTGGCAAAGCGAATTCTCTCCACTATTTCAAAACTGTGTGCCAGTGCACGACTATCGTATATCACAAGGTTGTCCGCTACCTAATTGTAATCAAATAGACTTATTCTATTTGAGTTAAAAAAAATTGCCGATTGGTGACAATATTTTACATTTCCGCAATTATATTCGGTTGTGTATTGAAAATATACAGATAGAGTGATTTAAAAGGAAAGTTTATATATATAATACAGAACCATGCGGACGCTAGTTAAAAATAAAATACTATTTTAATAGTAAAAAAACTGTTGGAATGCCATTGCATTAACCATTGTTACTGAGATTAATCTACGAATATAAACAATCTTACGAAATCTACTCCCCTACCATAATATTAGTATATTATATGAATTCAGATAGAAAAATTTAATATCAACAACAAAGAGAGAGAAAATCCAATAAAACTCTTCAGTGTAACATCAACGGCTTATTATAACTAAGTATTAAATATATTCTTTAGAAATTTTCTCGTAATCATAATTCTTTATTAAATTTACCTAAGCGAAAGCAACTGCACTGTTATATATTGAATAAAATTATAAACTTCTAAATATAGACATAGGCGCTCGATGACGCCATGGTTACCGCGTTCAGTCTGCGATTCGGAGGTTTAAGCAACTTTAGCAAGGGTTAAGCATAGGATGGATGGCAAAAAAATCACTATCTTGTCACGTTAAAGCATTAATCTCAGGTGCGTCACATTCATTAATTAATACACGCCAACCTCCACCGTTCATTTATTTGAAACAAGCTGTTCCAATAGTTTTAGAACCTATTTGACGCAAACAAATCAAATCTCTCCACTTCATAGGTACCTAGATTCATCAAAGTGATTAATATAATAAACACACTCATGTAAATTATATCTATCGTTTTTATTCATACCACACGTAGCGCTGCAGACTTACTACAAAAATGCCAGTGTTGTGTTGAGTTTCCTAATTGATTCCATGTGAATAAAGGCTCGTATCCAGTAGATATATTAATAGAATTATATAATAATAGGCAATTCCTGTCGACTTTAATAATTCAATCAAACCTGTCGGATAACGCTACGCACGCGTTCTGTACGTTAATACACTATGATGATGATACTTTGAGCAAAAAAGTACAAATTTAAATGCATATCTTCAAAGCTTAAGTTAACCGTTTTTCAGTTTTTTTGACAGATAAATCAATCAAATCTATTGCATTAAAAGCTAGTACTTACCGGGAGGGGGAAAGGTGCTGGGCGGCGCATGGGGCCGAAAGGAGGTGGGATAAGGGCGTCGGAGGCCGGGGCACGCTCCTGAGGCCGCAGCGGCAGCCGCGCGGGCCCAGATAACGGGAACGCGAATACTTGTGATTGCGGCTCCGGGAAGTTGCCCATTGCTCTATTCAAAGCAAAAACAATAAAAAATATAGTTTATTCGCTAGAATATGGTAGGTATATTATGATATCATTGCGGGTGTAGACAGGAAACGAAAATAAAGACATATATTTTCAGGTAGTATTTAATATACTATTACCGATAATGACACTACCATGCTTATTTTATTTATAATATTACTCGTATTTAATTATGAAAAAACACTTATTTTATACTCGTTGTCACGTGTATAAAGTAAGTGTAAATAAGTATCTTCTTCTTATTTTATTAATGGCTTATCTGCGCATTTCGCACAATTCTGCCAATGTCAAGTGTATAAATTAATTATTACATGTAAAATGAAATGAATGAAAGAAGACGAAAACACGAATAAATAAAATGCTAGTCGTAAATAAGTATAAAATAAGTTTAAAGAAGATGTCATAAATTTCACTTTGCCATTGACACACATAGAACTGTGCATAGAACGTTGTTTGTTATTGTTTATGTTAGTTTCAGAAGGCTGTGACGTCACATCGACGCCATGGCAGAGATTAACGTTTTAGCGGGAAAGTTTGAACATTAATTTTATTTTTAGATTTTGAATTAATATATGAGAGATAATTATTTATATATACATATATATATATATATTTATACATATAAATATATTTCAAGTAGGTATATCTATAAAATTAAAATATAAAAAAATTGTCTACACCCGTATTGGGTACATTAATTTTAAATAATTTAGTGATGAGATCTTCTATGCTGAGGGATAACAATGTGCATGTTTTGTAATTTTCATTATAATATAAAGAGAATTTAAATTTATATATCCACTAGCTGTTTTTCCGCAACTTCGCATACGTAAATATTGGCTAAATGTACTCGTATGTTTCAACGAAGCAGTGAGAGCTTGCAGGCGTGGGCTTCGAAGATTGAGAAAATTGTCTGGAAAGAAAATCGGTCAAATTCTGCTTTGGACGAAGACATGCTGGTACAAATCTTCATTGACGGGATCCGTGACATGGACGTAAGGGCTGCTGTTAGATTAGGACGTCATAAGACGCTGAAGAATGCCTTAGCTTATACTCTAGAAGTGGAAGCAGTTTGCAAAGGCGATCTCAGAAAACTACAAGCACTGCACTAGGCAAGAAGTGAAAGAGCCAGTGCGCGTAAAGTCATTGAGAGCGAAGACAGTGAGGAATAGGGGTATTGCCTGTTAAACACACAGGAGGATTACATCGACTTACGACAAATCGTCGGGTGGTTCAAGGCTGATGTTAATGGAGTGAGGCGGCTGCGATGAGTCCAATCACAGAGAGTTATTGGACACAATGGGAGAGCCTGGTTGTGCAAGACGGAATACTTTACCGTAAATGGGAAAATACCCGAGGAAACCACATGAGAGTAAAATAGACTCCGTGAAGGTTAAAGAGAGATTTTACTGGATTTGCTATCGAGATGTCGTTAAGGACTGGTGTCGCAAATGTACTAGTTGTGCGACTAAACAAGGACTTCACAGTCTTAGTATTGACCACAGGATAGTGTCTTAGTATTGACGATGTTGAGGCCCCTTGGGAACGGGACTTATACAGGATGAAGACCAGCTATGACCGCAGAACTAACAGAGAAGACTTCAGAGAGTGATCACAAGTTTGGCTGCACAACCCGGTCAGCATCAAGGAAAGTCACCAGAGCTACAAGCAAAATGGGATGGAGCCTACCGAGCCATGACGAGGATAAATGATGTCACTTATCGAAGACTAGTGGACGCCCGCGACTTCGTCCGCGTGGAAGTCGGTATCCCGTGGGAGTGAGAAGTTTTCCCAGTAAAAAGTACCCTATGTGTTATTCTGATGTATAACCTATATTGCTGTAAAGTTTTATCCAAATCCGTCCAGTAGTTTTTTCGTGAAAGAGTAACAAACATCCATACATCCATACTTACAAACTTTCGCCTTTATAATATTAATAGGATAATAGGATAGAAAGGCCTTCAGATATGTCTACCAACAACCCCTTTTGATGTCTATATATATATAAACAGGTGTTTACACATTGTTAATCATAATATTGTTATAATGACGCTTAAACACCTACATTATTAATAGTGTAAAGCACAATTTCCGAGAAAATCTCTACACAAAATTGTCATAGGTAAATCAAACTATTATTAATTATATTGTAACATGTTTCATACAGGTGTATCAAATTACATAATTAATGATTTATTACAGCAAAACTATTCGCATACGACATTAGTAAAATCACAGATCAAAGTACGCACCATGAATTGCTTATTTATGTAGGTAGATATTATTTGCATACTCTATTATAGTCTAAAGTGTAAACAAAAACATGTATACGTAGCCGGCGAATAAGTGAATAAGTTATAGGTAACCAGTTGTTTCCCGAGACTACACCAGCGTATATTATAGCAAATTTAATATTATTATATGTCAGGACTTCGTAGAGTGGATTAGTTAAGTATTCTGAAAAACTTACAACATTGTAATACCTACAATCGTTGATAGTATGAAACAGCTGATTATTTTTTCGTGAATTCAGTTTTGCTTCTATAGTAAAAGTTGTTCAGTATACTTAACTAATCCACCCCACAAACTCTTGGCATATAATAATGTTACACCTTATATAAGTCTTATATTATTATATATCACGCTTAAATTTCAAACGTGGACTTATTTATGTAAACAAATATCAAAATAGCATTCTGAATTGAAAATTTATCAGCAATAATAATTAGAACATATTTCTTTCAGAAAAATAAGCATTGTTAATTGAGAAAAATACTGAAATATAAAAATTTTAACAATTTACAACACAAACTGATGAGCAAAATTTGCGGGTCACTCACAAAAGCCTTGATACGTACCTACAGTCAAAAAGTCAAAGTCAGAATAATCTATTATTTTAATAGACTTCTTAAAAGTAATTTTTAAACGTCCAACATTTTTTCCCCTATATTTCAACATATCAAACTTAGCTCATTGAAATAAGTTGTAGCTAACAGAGATTTTATAATGCAGTAAATTGGATTGTGTTTAATTTAATAATAACACTCTTTAACTATTCTTGATATAAAAATAAAAAATAAATAAATGATCCCTAACTTTTGCCAGTCTTTACTGTCAACTTTTTAAGTAATAAGCAATCCGTTTACTTCGTGCGGTTGATTTCCTATAAATCGATACACATTTTGCGTAAATTATTCTCAACGGTATTCCCTAATCGTATATACCAGTTACACAAACTCGCACAAAATAACATTCAATGTTACATTGTCTAGGATTCAACACATATATACATTCTTGGCGAGGGGAACATTATTCTTTTCTTTTGTCACTGAACAAAATTGAATTTCTCCTGTTATCTCTACTTATAATTGTATATTATTAAAATCGAAAAAGAGGTTTTATGTTCGACTGGTATGTATTCTCCGCAATTTGTAGACCGATTTTCAAAATTATTTTAACCATAAAACATATCGAAATTGAATGAACAGTTCTGTTTTATAACAAAATAACAGAAAGCGTTCTGCCAAATAACAAAAATATCCTGGATTTTAACAAAACATCGAGTATTTTGCTTGCCTATGATATTTCAATTCAAATTTCATATATCACAATTCTCAATCCATTTTATAAAAAAAAAGAAAACTATTTTTATTAGTTCATATTTCGCCGCTTCCGGGTGTTTGAGTTTGCGAATCGAAACTATAGGTTTTCTCGATCCGGGCGACTGCTATAATCATTGAATTACCCAATAGAACGGTGCCTCAAATGTTTCATACGGCTGGATAAGCAGCATATTTACTGTTTCATTATAACGCTTGATTCCTTGCTATTTGCACCTGCCCCCGCGTAACACCCACTCAGTATCTCAAAATACTACCAAGTTCCAAATAAGTGAAAAATTACTTCCACGAGAAAGTTGCATACACGTTTCGCAGCAAATATTTCTCAAATAAATATTACGCATTATCTGGAAGGTACAATCGAGACTAGATTTTTAGGAGTAGTAGTTTTTAGTTAGTATTTCATAAATTTAATATTCATTTTTTAATATTTACAATAGCATATCATGTAAATACAAAATGCCAATTTCTGCAATAAAATTTTAAACTCAATTTTCGACTCGTTAATGTATAAAACAAATTAAAGAAATATGACAGTATAAAATATTTTAATACCCTCGAATTATATATGTTTATATATTTAGGCTTAGTACATAATTGTACGTTGAATTATCCTTATCTTTAAATAAATCACGTCTTTGCCGTCGACAATTATTTTCAAACAATGAAACACCTAATATAATTTCAAAAAGATTCTAATTAAGGATGCTGTAAATTATGAGAGCCAACAGGTGGTGCTTAGCCAAACTTTAATTCCTGACATAAGAGGATACTTCGATTTCTACCAAAATCCAATTGACTGAGAAATCATATTTTAATAAATGTATCTATTACCTTACGAATGTTTTATATAACCCAGGGATTGTAACTTATTTGTTATTTCTGATTCTCAGAAACAATTTCGAGAGATATCTTAGTTTATTATTAAATACAATTTGTGTTACACATTTTGTACAGATACTTGATGATACAAGAAAGAGAAATGATGAAACTTGATATGTTCAAGTAGATTTCAGAATTGTTATATCAAGGAAACCTATTGTGGGATAAATATCTATACTAATATTATACAGTGGTGTTAATAAATTAATTTTAGCGTTGTGAGTAAATTTACGCTGAGACTGCACTTAGTATTAGTCAAAATTCATATTATCAAGCAGAGACTTAGCAACGGTTAACCTAGAACGAGGTTCTACGGCAGTAATATTTATTCCTGGAAAGTGCTTATTCTTATTATCTGTATAATATGAATAATATGCACTTGGACTAAGACTAAAATTTCAATTTTTATTCTAAACTTTGTTTAAGAATAACATATATAGAGAGAACATTCAATTAGCTCCTATAATAATAATTTACGCGGGCGAAGTCACGGGAAAGCAGAAAGTTATCTATATAGGGATATATAATAATCTAAGGTTAAAATTATCTCAGTGCAAACATCGAAAATCCGTCCGAAAAATATCAAAAGGTGGCAACAAACAAAATGTTAACTTCAACTTTACAAATGTTTACGAGTAGGATTAATAACCTAGTAAATCTACTTTGCAACCCTTAGAAATCTTAGAATAAAGACTTACGTACTTACCAAATTATGGTATTATTGTACTAAACGTATGTATGTACACAAAGTCAGGTTACCACAATGTCTTTCCACAATTGAATTTGAGTCTACCCTCAATGTATTAAAGATTAAAAGTAAGTGAAAAAAATTGTCAGTTTTGTAGAACCTTTGAACTATGAATACCAACCTGGGTTCATCTCCACCATGACAAATGATGGCGACTCTCTCAGCGTGGGCGTTGCGTGGAGCAAAGGCACCAAGGATGTTGAAGGGGAATCGCCGCTCCATTGGATCATCGTGACGGCGTTCCACCACGCAGTTCATACGACCTCTAAAATAATACACAAACATCTCATTTATACATAAGCTTTCTATATAATAAATTTTAAATCAGTCGTGGTAGTGGTTATGGAAAGAATCAACTGTCACAAATTGATGGACAGACAGACAGACAACCGACTGACCATATAAGGGTTCGGTTTTTTGTTCCTTTACTAGTCCGGAACCCTAAAAACGGAAACGGAGGATCACTCGCTCATTATTTGTCTGCCCGTCCGTAACACAGCTAATTTGCTCTGAAACTACTGAAAGGATTGAGTTTATATGGCAAAATTTAATAATCCTCTTTATTCTCGAAACTACTAGGACTTTACTTCGTTAGTCGTTAAATTGATTAGTCATCTTTGGCAATGCTCACATTATTAAGTACGTATATATAACTAGAAATTAAAATGAGTTAGCAGTTATCGAAACCCGAATGCTTTAGAATACGGATAGTTTACCACCGAAAACCTACTATAAACATAAATTATAATGTAAATAAAACACTGACACATTTATGTACCCAATGCAATGTAAATTTTGTGAGGAGAATATACATATTCATTATTAATATAGTCTTGACGCTGAAACAACGTGATGAGCAATTATTCGCACCAGTCGTTCGATGGTATGCATAAATGTAACAAGCGAAAGTTTAAGCTAATGCTCTAATCGTCAAATCAACATTCTAGAATGAAAGATCAAATAGTGAGACTACTTTAACAATTCTTCAGTGTTCAGATGAAAACTACTGAAGAAGAATTTTCACAATGTCAACGACCTCATCTAGTAAAGTTCCTAGATATAAGGCCTTCAAAATTTATAAAGACTCCGTATTAACATATAATATATATTGTAAATCATAAAGAATAATCCTTACGTATGGGAGAGTTTTCGTCCCCGCAATATGCATTAATATCCTATCCACAACCAAAACTCATAACAAATCCCAAATACACGTTTTCACGCACAAATAAGAAAAAACCTAAACAAGTTTAAGTCTCTAAAAGTATCTTAACATCATTATTTATAGTAATTCAGAGCTACATTACACGTGTAAATATTACACAAGAAGCTAATATTTTAAAACATACGAAACATAATGTTCCTGCATAATATTATTATGAAAACAGATTTAACGTTTAATCTCACAACCGCCAATTATTTCGTTCCGCTTCAGGCATGTCTCTGCATTATGTTTAATGATATTGATAATATTACCAACATTATAAATGACTGCTTTTCCCATAATAAAGAGAGTAAAATAAATTGCAATAGAAGATTTTTGTGTTTACATATAAATTCAAGTGCAAAAATTTCAACTTTTAAGTTTTACTTTTTACCGCCACTCCAATCTCAAAATAGCTGCTAAAATTACTCAATAATACATTTACTAATATTGCTTTAAATAAAAAGTCGCTGTATATAAAAATATTTTACAGAAACAAACTTCATACAGATAGGTACCGATCTTCAAGCAAAAATGCGTCAGATGTTTGTTATTCAACTCATTCTATAGAACTAGCAGACCCAATGTTTAACACTCCAAATAAAATTGATATTTTGCTAGGAGCTGAAGTATATGGTCAAATTTTATTAGACGGAGTAATCAAAGGTCCACCAGGTTCACCAGTTGCACAAAATACCAAACTTGGTTGGATTCTTTCAGGCTGTATATATTCAACTTCTAGTAATGAATCTTCATACATCCAACATAACGGAATCATTAGTATGCACACTCAATTAACCATGAATGATTTTTTAAGAAAAAAGTCAAAGGTACGCCATCTATTACAACATAATATATGTCATTTACCCATATAATATGTTGTAATAGATGGCGTACCTTTGACTTTTTGAATCGCGGTGTTATGATTGTTTGTCAAAGACATATATAGTTTTTCTAATGTAAATAAATTATCCTCGACCTTATTACTTGTTTCATTCAGTTTGAACCTTTTTTTGGGACTTTAACATGGTCCTAGCGAGGCGGATATTAGCAGCGAAAATAGTTTTGTAATGCGACAGAAATTCCAATCAGTTTAGAAAAAAGTAGTGACATCAGCAAATATAGTGTGGCCACGAAACGAGCGATTGCAAGAGCGAAGCGGAAATTGGTGTGGAGCCAGGAAGTGAGTTTTTAAGTAGTGAAGTGATAACTGTGAGTACAATACAACATAGTAGAAATTTAGGACTTAGAATAATTTCTCCAAAAGTGCACATACGGGGAATCCACGCTAGTTTGCGGAGCCAATTCTAAAACACTTAGAAAAATTTCGAGCGACTAATTCGACTTGGAAAATTTTATTAAAATTTCACATACATTGAAATTATTAAATAGTAATAAAAATGGAAGCTTATGCGAAAATTCAAGAAGATATTAAGTCTAAAATACAGAAAGGAAAGGTTAACTTTAAAAAATCTCCTAAAGATAGGATCACTATGTCATACTTAGAAACTCGCTTAGAAACCTTAGAACAACAATGGGCTTTGTATATTGAAACACATAAGAAGATCGTTACTGAAGTTCCCGTTGAAGTACTTAAAACATCTTCTTACTTTAAAAGTGATGAGTATGATGAGACTGAAGAGCTATACATTTATTACAAATCGGAATTAAAGGAAGCCATTCGAGTATTTAAGAAAAACATAAAAGTCGATGAAGTTAGTGATGCGCATATCGTTTCAAACGCCCAATCTCTTACTGTTAACTTACCGAAAATAAACATTCCTAATTTTAGCGGAAGATATTCAGAATGGATCAGTTTCCGTGATTTGTTTTTGTCTTTAATCCATAACAATAAGGGATTGGATGATGTTCAAAAACTGCACTATTTAAAGGGTCACTTAAGTGGTGAGGCCGAACAAATGCTTAGACATATACCTATCACATCTTGTAATTATAAAACTTGTTGGGAACAATTAGAGCATCGTTATAATAATAAAAGATTTTTAGCAAATTCTGTATTAAAGCGATTTATGAGTCAAAAAAATGTATTGTCAGAATCGTCAAGTGCTATAAAAGAATTACTTGATACAACCAATGAGTGTTTAAATGCTCTTTCTAATTTAGACATAAATATCGATTCTTGGGATCTTATTATAATTTATATAATTTCATTGAAACTTGATACAGAATCTCGCAAATTATGGGAAGTTCAAGTTAGTAAATGTAACGATGAATTACCTAAGCTTTTTGATTTCAAAAACTTCTTAGAACAACGCTTTCGTTCATTAGAATTTTTAGATAATAAATATCCAAAGCAAAATATTGTTCGTAATACTGTTCCTAAAACTATGCATGTTGTTTCTACTGTGCAATGTGTGTTTTGTTCCGATGCTCATAAGTTATGCAATTGTAAAAAATTTGCCAAAGAAGATGTAAATATGCGTCGAACCTTTGTCCAAACCAACAAGTTATGTTTTAACTGTCTTGCGCCGAACCACTCTGCGTATACTTGTCGCCAATCAACCAACTGTCGTATTTGTAAAAGGAGACATCACTCTCTCCTTCACCCAAAATCAGGTTCTAAAGATGATAAGGCTATCATTTCTTCTGAGGAAGGAAATAATCAATTGTGTAGTCCAGAGCCATCTTCACAAGGCGAGGTATCAAACCTAGTGTCATGTTTTTCTCATTTGAATAGTCAAGTATTATTGGCCACTGCCTTAGTGAAGGCAGATACGAGAAATGGCACATTTTATCTTCGAGCTCTTCTCGATCAGGGGTCGCAGGCTTCCTTTATAACAGAGTCTGTTGTCCAAATGTTAGGCCTTAAAAAGATGTCAAATATGAGCTATATTTCAGGGTTAGGTAGTGATCAAAGTTCAACTTTGCAGTCAAAATGGACCGTTGTGGTCAAAATTCAATCACGACATGATCCCAACTTTATAGTTGAAGTTAAAGCTCACGTTTTAAATAAGCTTACGTCTCTGCTTCCAGAAAAGAACATAACTGTTCAGATGTTATCTTCTCAAATCTCTTCTATAGAACTAGCAGACCCAATGTTTAACACTCCAAATAAAATTGATATTTTGCTAGGAGCTGAAGTATATGGTCAAATTTTATTAGACGGAGTAATCAAAGGTCCACCAGGTTCACCAGTTGCACAAAATACCAAACTTGGTTGGATTCTTTCAGGCTGTATATATTCAACTTCTAGTAATGAATCTTCATACATCCAACATAACGGAATCATTAGTATGCACACTCAATTAACCATGAATGATTTTTTAAGAAAATTTTGGGAGCAAGAAGAACCAACACATACTAAGAAAATGTTGACTGAGGAAGAACAGATGTGTGAGGAGCTGTTTACTAAAACTACTACTAGAGACGAGTGTGGTCGCTATGTAGTGAAATTACCTTTCAAAACTGAAAACCCATGTTGTCAATATGGTGAATCTTATGAGATTGCAAAAAAAAGGTTTTTAGTGCAAGAAAGGAGATTGTTAAATAATCAGGAATTAAAAATTCAATATTCTGATGTAATAGAAGAATATTTAAAGCTTGGACACATGGAAGTAGTTCCACAAACAGAGAAAAATAATTCTAAAGCAGTTTATCTACCTCATCACGCTGTAGTTCGAAACGACAAAAGCACTACTAAGGTAAGAGTCGTGTTTGATGCATCATGTACTCTTAGTAATGGGACATCATTAAATAATGATCTCATGGTCGGTCCAAGGCTTCAACCTGAACTCAGACATATTATTTTACGTTGGCGCGGTTATCCAATAAGTCTGGTTGCTGACATAGTAAAAATGTACCGACAAGTCAAGGTAGCCCCAGAGGATGTTGATTTTCAACGTCTATTATGGCGTAGCGACAGTGATTCAGAAATTCAACACCTTCGGCATCTACGGGTGACTTTTGGCGTATCATCAGCACCTTACTTAGCAGTTAGAACTTTACAGCAGGTTGCACGTGATGAAGGAGATAAATATCCTGCAGCAGCAGATAAAGTTTTAAATGAGTTTTACATGGACGATTTGATGACTGGTTGCGAAAATATAGATGATGGTGTCCAAATATATCACCAAATGAACGAGTTATTAAATCTTGGAGGATTTCAGCTTCAGAAATGGAGCAGTAGTAATGATGAGTTACTATTCAGGTTAGATCAAGATAAGAAAACTTCAAGAGAAAGTAAAGAGTTAAAATTAGATTCTGTTATGAAAATTTTAGGTTTAACATGGAATAGGCTCAATGATGAATTTCAATACACTGTTCAACTTGGGTCGCTGGACACACCTGTAACTAAGAGGAAAATGATATCTGAAATAGCGAAATTGTATGATCCTCTCGGTTGGCTCGCTCCTGTCGTGACTACTGCTAAAGTATTTATTCAAAAAGTATGGTTGTCAGGCATACAGTGGGATGACGAATTACCATCTAATATATTAAAGAATTGGTTTGAGTTTCGAAACGAACTCACACATCTCACTCAATTTAAGATTCCAAGGTGGATTGGAACGCGCACCAATGATGTTATTACAGAATTACAAGGATTTTGTGATGCTTCAAATGTAGCGTATGCGGCCGTAGTCTACATTAGAACTATTGATATTAATGGTGATATTCGTGTATGTTTACTTGCTGCGAAAACTAAAGTAGCTCCGGTGAAACAAGTTAGTATTCCTAGATTGGAGTTATGTGGGGCAGTACTATTGGCTAAACTTTTACAAGAAATTTCGGAAGTTTTATGTATTCCAAAGGAAAATATTCATGCCTGGACGGATTCAAGTGTAGTTCTTTCTTGGCTAAGTAACCATCCAAGTAAGTGGAAAACTTATGTAGCAAATCGTGTTTCCGAAATACTAACTATTATGAACAACAGTCAATGGTCACATGTCACGTCTGAAAGTAATCCTGCAGACTGTGCATCACGGGGTTTAAATCCAAGCAAATTGTCTGATATGAAAATTTGGAAAGAAGGTCCAATCTGGTTACAAAAAAAGAATATTAAATATACAAAGGGAGATTTGAAACCTACTGATATAGAAAGGAAAAATGAAAAAATGTCATGTCATACAATTCAGTTTAATTCAGTTTCAAAAAATAATGATATAATATCTCGTTATTCGTCGTTGAATAAGTTACTAAGAGTCGTCGCTTACATACGTCGGTTCCTGAAAATAAAGAAAAATAAAATTAATATACCTTATATTACTAAAATCGAAATAAAGGAGTCTTTACTTACCTGCATTCGTTTGTGTCAGCGAGAGGGTTTCCTGGAAGAAATAGAATGGTTACAAAAATGGGGTAAAATTAAGAAAAATAGCAAACTTACTTCACTCAGTCCTTTCCTCGATACCGATGGTATTCTCAGGGTGGGCGGTCGCTTACAAAAAGCTGATATCGGTGAAAGTATGAAACATCCAGTATTGCTACCTTATCAGTCACACCTCACAGAATTAATTGTGAAAGATGCGCATTGCCGTACACTTCATGGGGGACCTCAGTTAATGCTGAACTATTTAAGAACTCAGTATTGGATAATCAATGCGAAAAATCTTGTACGCAAATACGTTCGTTCGTGTGTTGTATGTCGTCGCCATTCTGCACAAACAAGCCAACAAATGATGGGAAATTTGCCTACTGAGCGTGTTACCATTTCTCGTCCTTTTTACCAGAGTGGAGTTGATTACGCAGGACCAATTGCTATTAGGCCACACAAGGGCCGTGGTTATCGATCCACAAAGGGATATATTGCTCTGTTTATATGTATGACCACTCGTGCAATACACCTCGAAGTCGTGAGTGATATGACATCAGAGGCTTTTTTAGCAGCATTTAAGCGATTTGTTGCACGACGCGGTCACTGCGCAGAACTCTGGAGTGATAATGGTACAACATTTATTGGTGCAAACAGGGAACTGAAACAATTGTTTAAAATAGAAAAATCACAAGTAGCTAAAGATATTGCTGAGTGGTTAGCGACGAACGGTACTAATTGGCACTTCATTCCACCTCATGCTCCTAATTTCGGAGGACTGTGGGAGGCTGGAGTGAAGTCCACTAAACACCATCTTAAAAGAGCAATTAGCAATACTACTTTAACATTCGAAGAGATGTCAACTCTTTTATGTCAAATTGAGGCTTGCCTCAATTCACGACCTCTCTCTCGAATTAGCAATAGTCCAGAAGATCCATATCCATTAACTCCCGGGCATTTTCTGGTGAGTGAGCCTTTATTGCTTATTCCAGATACAAATTATGAGAACGCCAATATAAGTACCCTTAAAAGATGGCATTTTGTCCAAAGACTTCTTCAAAAATTTTGGCGGCGATGGTCAAATGAATATTTGACTCAATTGCAACATAGATACAAATGGTCTCATATTGTTCCTGAACCTTGCATAGGGGACGTAGTATTAATCAAAGAAGATGACCTTCCTCCTTCTCGATGGTTATATGGCATAATTACTGATAAACATGTTGGTTCGGACAATCTTACGCGAGTTGTAACTTTACGTTGTAAGGGATCTTTAATCAAACGACCTGTTTCTAAACTTATAGTATTACCTGTCACTGTGTAATGAATTTAATTAAGTATGTGTGTATGATAAATATGGCATTTATTTTTATTTCGAAAAAATGTTTTAGTTGTTATTTAGTTAGTAGAGATTGATTGTTATTTTCATTTTTGCTAATCTTATTGTTATTTGTAATGGACATTCTGTCCATGGTGGGCGGAATGTTAAATCTGCTTTTTTAAATGACATAATATATGTCATTTACCCATATAATATGTTGTAATAGATGGCGTACCTTTGACTTTTTGAATCGCGGTGTTATGATTGTTTGTCAAAGACATATATAGTTTTTCTAATGTAAATAAATTATCCTCGACCTTATTACTTGTTTCATTCAGTTTGAACCTTTTTTTGGGACTTTAACAGATAGGTACCGATCTTCAAGCAAAAATGCGTCAGATGTTTGTTATTCAACTCGAGTCGCTAAAGTCAACCGCAAGTATGTGTTTATAAAGTTTAAACAGGTTTATTTACTTGAAACATATCTGGTAAGACCATTATCCTTTAAAGTACCTTACAACTTTTTTATAACAAAAAGTAATTATTAAGTTTTATTAATTTTACAACCACAATGTTATGCTGAAAAATATTCTTAGTGAAAAATGTTTAATAATATCCAGGTCCCATTTCAGAGTACTAGTGGCTTTTTAGACATTTTTCATCAAGAAAAAGGTTGTTTTGTAAAAATTCGTTAATTTATCTCTTACTTCTGATTGTTAGCCAGGAAGGCGCCAGCAAGCTCATCGAGATCGAACTGTATGGGAAGCTTAAACATGGGTCTGATAGCATCAAGTTCTTCTTCGTCTTCTGCGGAACTGTCTGATTCTGAACTTTCTTCACTGCTAGAAGTCGCTGGTTCATTTTTGTCGTCAATTTTCTGAAAATAAAATATTTTTGCAAGGTATACCTCTTATCTTTTACCACATAATAATGCAAAGTAAGAAAGTACCAAAACGAAGTGGAAGACATGATACAACATAGTAACTAATATTAAAAAAGTGTTTTTCAGTTCATTTAATGTAAGATATGAATTTGAACTTAGCAATGAAAAGTTTTATATATTTCTTTCCCAAAAATTACATAAGCACTCACATCGAGGCATAAAATGGCAAATGTATTAAAATCTGTTTAATCTCCAGACACATGTTTACCAAGGATTTGACGTTGAGAAAAGTTTCCCCATTGTACTCTTTTAATACAAATAAGAGAGAAATAAGTTCGCATTGTGAAAATTTCTTGGCATCAAAAGAAATGTAATATATAAAATGTTCACAAAGGTAAAACTCATAAGTTGCGAAGAAAATGTTTCGAGGACTTGATGATAGATCTTAGTGGAAAATAACAAATATATATAAAAAGAATCGTGTCCTAGTTACTTCTTGGTACGTATGCATTTCTTGTCCATTACTCATTTGTTATTAATAAATAAATTTACCAAATGCCTATAACTTGTGTGCCGACTATAAACATAAAGCAGTTTTCATAACTGTACGTTTTGAACAAAACAAGTGTAAGAACAATTATGTATTCAAAACGCTGAAATGTATTGAACGTCCGATATCTTTTTAATTTTATCAATTTATTATGTTGTGAAGTTCTTAAATATACAATATTTTAATAACTTTATAGTAAATTAATATTTAAAATATTATTAGAAAAGAATATAGAAAATATGCTTGTGACGTCATAATGACGAGCCATACCTAAGCGTCGCTCCGAAACGACAATGAAATAAGAGATAGTAATTATATTTGCAACTACCCTCCGATCCGCATTGGGCTAGCATGGAGGGTCATGGCCCAGCTTCCTTGACCATCCATAAGGAAGGCCTGAGCCCCTGCAGTGGGGACGTAAACGGGCTGGTGATGATGATGATGAATTATATTTGATCAATTTTTTAAACATTTTTCATTAAGAAGAGATATTATATTTCAGTTCCACGCTTATATTTTATCTTAAACATCTTCTGCAGGAGCTTATGTACTTGTCATATTTTCTGCGGTAATTTATAATTCGTCAAAAGAAAATGACAAAAATAATTTAATTACAATTTTGTAATGTTGAATGCATGCGCGTATTACATAAATGTTACTATTTTAATAAAACGTGTTAATAAGGCTATCGACAATTAATATCCTTTATAATATAAACAAAAAATCACATAATCGTCTATGTTATCTATAATATGTGGCACCTTGTTGTTCTTTTTCTTCTTTTACCACAAAATATAAGACTACCTTTCCATTTTAGTGACTGAAATAGAAAAACCCAGCATGCGAATTTTAAACGATTTAATTATTATAGTAGAGCATGTTTCTTACCTTAACATGTCTCTCGGATTTCCGTATACCTACCGTTATTTTCTTGTATGTACTGAATTTAGAACAATTTTCACTAATAAGGCCCCGTACATACTTGGGTACTAAACTATAAAAATAACTCTTGTTGGATATTATCTTGGGTTAATATTTAATTACAAAGTTACGGTAGCCAACTTCCAATTCCATCATCAGATCCGAGATATTGTTTTAGACACATACACATAAAGTGTAGGATCAATATGTTTGTCAAGACAAATCAATCAAATCGAAACTCGTTGGAGTTCGTTCCATTAAAGAAGTCCCTTCCGGCTCCATCACCAAATCAATACCATTCCATTATTATATAAATATTGCATTGTCGTCCAAGTTAATATGAATGCAAAATTTTAGCTCAACCAAAAACCGGGAAGTGGTTCAACTCTGTGTGCAAAATTGTGATGTTTCCAATAAAAGATTTTCGCGTAGTCATTGTTTGTGAAACTCAACAACGCTAAAACTATGACAATACGAAATCTCCTTTACGGTGGCTTACATTTTTACACATATTTTTACAATATCGGAAAACAGTTTCTCTTATTAAGTATAGTATATAAAAAGACGAAACAATAAACAAGTAAATTTTAGTATTTTTAGCGGATTTTTCCCACGATTAAGCCATAAGTGATGGTTTTGAAAGTTTATGTATCTAAGCCCTAATGAGAAGCCCAATGACGCAATGATTACTTAATTAGGAAGACTGACAATTTATCAAAGGAGGTCATCGTAGGAGTTACAAAAAAATAAATTATCTTGGTGTTCTTCGTGGTTTTTGATCTCGACTGTCTCTGCAGTCGTGAATATTCAATCCACATAGTATCATAACGGGTTATATCTATCTAAATTGTCACAAATTTTTCCCGACGGGGTAGGCAGAGACCACCTCCTTCCATTTTGCGTGATCCTGACATACCTTTATAGCATCCCCTACACGCTTTCACCTTTTCATACAAAAACACCGGTTTAGGGTACTCTTAACCTGGCCTTTCTTTAATAAGTCCGCGATTTGGTCGTTGTACATTCGTTTAGGTTTTCCCCTTCCAATCTTCCCTGTCACACTCGCCTTATATATCTGCTTTGTTAATCGCCTTTCACTCATCATTCGATATGGCCAAACCATTTCAGCATCCCTTTTTCAAACTTTGTCACTATATCTTCTTTCATGCCACATGGTTCTCTTAGAACTCTGTCACTCAACTTAACTTCAATCATACTTCTCAGCGCTCTCATTTCTACTACATTTATTCCATTTTCATAATGTTTCTGCCATACCCAACTTTCACTTCCATACATCAATGTTGGAACCAAAACTCCGTCATGTACAAAGCCTTCTTTGACACCTCTGGCTGACCATGAAGGAGTGTAAAGCTCCAATAAATAATAAAAAATATTTCCAGCATTCACTCACTTTCCTACTTCACGTCTCTCGTAAATATCGATCCCAGAAAGACAAATTTACTCACTTGCTCCACTCTCTTACTTTCAATTTTTATCTCGTAATATCATTCCTTTCAAAAACCATTATTTTCGTCTTATAAACATTCACTTTCATTCCTTTCTCTTTAGCGTAACATATATAGTATTTACCTTCTCCTGCAACTCTTCCACCGTAGACGCAAGTATTACTTGGTCATCAGCATAGACAAGGCATTTGACGAGTAACTCATTCATTCTTAACCCACAGACCATCTCTTTCAATCTTGTTAGATAATTATCGATGAATAACTTCAACAGCCACGGTAACGCAACATATCCCTATCTAATACCTAGATTAATATACATAAAACCAATCAGAGTACATATCGTTTATCTTGACACAAACACTGGAATTCTCATATAAGTGTTTGTATCAAGCTTCTGCTCATACCATGCAAAGATAATGCCAACCACAATTCATTCCTAAATACTCTGTTATATGCCTTATCAAGATCAACAAAAGCGTAGAATACTTTTTAGTTCTTGGAAAAGAACTTTGGATGGCCTATGACCTATGAATCTTAAGGAAAAGACCTGATCAGTACATCCCATTCTTTTTCTAAATCTAACTTGCACATCCCATATCCTAACATCCTTCCCTTTCATTACTCGTCCAATCAATATTTTTGTATATAATTTGCCGACTCCTATTTTGTTTCTAACCATCAAAAAGGCCTAAGTACCAGTGGGGCAAACACGAATAAACTGATGAAGAAAGACAAAGTTACAGTAGTTAATAGTAAACACCAAGTAGTACGGAGCCGTTTCAATTTGTCAGACTTCCAAACCGCGCTTAGGGAATACTAAGTTTAAATACCTACACAAAACCAATGAAATGATATATTAAACTTCACGTCGACTAGATAACGTGCAACAAAAAACCCACAATATCATGATTTTCACGAAGAGCGTATCACGACAAACGGCTGAAGCATTCTATAATGTTGTATTGCTTCTAAAACAATATGAAAATACATTTGCAAATGGAAAGTTTATGTATTTAAATAATTGCACATTATTATTTTTTTATTACCGGCCATTTAGATGCGATATTCGTGATTTAAACGGGTACAAAATATGTACATAATAACATGTGTCATGTATATTCTTAGAAACATAATTACCTACCTACCTACCATGTTTTCGACATTGTGTAATCATATCGTTATAGTCTGAGTGACTCTTCACGACACCAGTAGTAATATAATAATGTAAACATATACCATTTCCAAACATCGTCAGTAAGATGACATTATGAGATGATATTAAACTCATATTCAGATCCTTATTGAGCGATTGAAAAAAAGCTAAAAATTTGATCTTACTAACTGGTACGCAGTGAAGAAATTTGCGATCAGAAAGTTAGTTATATATTATAAAATAATACAGTGATCACAATATTTCACAACATCAAAGTTTGCGGTTTACGCAATTGATTGAGGAAATTATTAACCAAGAGTTTCACTATTACTTTTGAAAGCAATAAACAGCAAAACACTCGGTCGATTTTCACGCACACTTTTATTAATTTAAATGTAACGGCTGATTGCTTTAATATGCACCGAATACATTTGCGTGGTATTATTTTACTATATTGTTATTAGTCACTAATTACTTCTATACTAAGCTTACATATCCACTTATTCCTTATGCTATAAGTCCTTTTAAGAGAAAAATTACTTTTTACACATAATGAAAAATAATCTTAAATGAAATAGTATCCCCTATATGTAATACTAAATTCCTTTCCAAATTACTCTTAATACAACAAAAACATAAACTTTGAAACCAAGCAAATCCACAAACCGATCGCGGATTTACTGTACTTGTTGAAAATTTACAAATTTCACAACAATTTAGGAATTAATTTAGTATTAGGGGTTAGCTTCCTTCTATTAAATAATTCCCTCCAGGTTTCAAACCCCAGAACTTAAGAGAGTAATCTATCAAGATCGACGGCCCGTGACATCTGATTGGTAATAGTTCTCCATCACTATTATCATAGATTTCACATAAAAGAGTTACTTACCTCTCTGTGCTTCGCATATTAAATATTACAATCGTTATAAGGTAACAACAAGTTTCCGATATTTATTAAATATTTTATCGATTATAGATTCCACTGTACCTATCGATGCATTGCTGAGCGTATCAAAAATAAAAACAAACAGTGGTAATGATAGCGTGTTATACGGGAGCGATTCATCTCGTTCTGTGCTGTTTGCCAGACACAATCGTTCGGACATCCTGCGCTGTACAATGGCACGTGCTATTGTTTCGTCGCCCATCGCCCTCCGTTAACTAATACGTATAGTATCTGTGCTAATACTAACCGACAAAAGGTAAACACAACTTACTCGACCTCTGACTGTGCTAATTGTTCGAAGTCAAAAATCGACAGTTTTTTTAACGAAGGGATTTGCATTACTGCATAACGCTGCATAACGCGCCTCCACAGCGATGGTCAGCGAGGTTATGTGAGGCTCTTATTGCCTACATCTCCCCAAAAAGAAAAAGTGCACATGCATATTCACTAATTCCGATGTCCCTTTCCCTACCCAGAGGCCCAAAGGACGACATCCTACGAAAACTTTCAAATACTAGATTTAGTAATCAAAATATCTTTGAAATAACATTGATTCATGCAGAACATTTACTTACAATTTTTTGAGATAAGCAGTATCGGCCTTGAAAATGTAAATACGCAAAAGAAATCATATACCTAACAATTCCATCAAATAAAACAGATAGGCTTACTACTATATATTTTTTTCCAGAATATAGTGAAGAACAATAATGTTTTCACAGATACAAACTTATAACATGTCACACGTCGGTAAAAGGTAAAATGGCAGAGAATTTTTTTGTGTTTTTGTTCCAAGAAAATAGCGTCTGGTGACATAACACATCAACAGAATAAATAATGTTTTCTCCACGGCTCGTAACAACGCCCGACGTAAAATGTTCAAGTAATCTATGCTATTATGAAGCAGTAACTGGAGACGACTTCTGTTGAATATTAAAGTTATTTTGGTATGGTCTAGTCATTCTTGATGGTACGATTGTTGGAAATAAAGAAAGAAATTTCCTTCAATTTTCATAAAGCTCAGAATTCGCGGTTTCGCACAGCTTTTATGATTTAATATAAGTCGTATAACATAGGTATAGTCCTGTATATTGAAACATAAAATCAGCAAATATTAAATTTAATATCACTAAAATGATTGTTAGATGCTTATGGAATTCGTTATATTAAATCTTCGTTTTAATAAACTTCAGAGATAATTTGATTTTCAATGAGCAACGTGAACAGGTTGAGCAGACAAACAAATATCAAAATATTAGGGTTCTTACATATGAAATTGGCGTTTTGTCGTACTGGCCACTTTAATCACAAATTTCTCCTCCTTGGTTGGGATTCCAAATTCAAATTTATACAACCATTTACACATGTATTTGTGTTTCGTTAGGCGGCATTCATTTGTTTTTTTTTTCTTCTGTTTGTCCTATTTACGTCACCCAGTATAAAAAATGGAATACTTGAAATATCTTTACGAGTACGAGTTCCACCGTGGTTCCAGTGCTGCGGAAACGGCTTGAAGGGTTTATGATATGTATGGCGAATGTGTCGCAAAAGAAAATAGTGCGTTTTTGGTTCCAACGTTTTTGTTCTTTGAATTTCGACCTACAGAACAAGCCCTGTGGACGGCTATTGTGGAAGCGAATCCATCGCAAACCACGTCCGAGTTAGCTGCAGGCTGTGGTGTTAGTAATAAGACTGTTTTAATCCACTTGAAGCAAATTAGAAAGATTAAAAAGCTTGAGAGGTAAACCGGCAAACGCGCTTCGACTGCTGCATTACATTACTTAACCAGCACAATAAGGAAGGGTTTTTAAATCGAATCATTACCTGTGATGAAAAGTGGATTCTCTAAGATAATCGGAAGCGCTCGTCGAAATGGTTAGATCCTGACCTGCCAGCCAAATCCTGCCCAAGCGAAAATTGACCCCAAAAAAGTTACCTGTAAGCGTTTGGTGGGCTAGTGCCGGTGTCGTTCATTACAGTTTTCTCAAATCTGGTCAGACGATGACGGCAGACCTCTATTGTCAGCAATTGCAAACTATTCTGGAAAAACTAGCTGTTAAACAACCGAGGCTGGTCAATCGCTCTACTCCACTGCAACATGGGCTACTTGGGTCACACCGCTAGACCACACTGCACAACAGACAGCTACCAAATTAGAAGAGCTTCGATTGGAATGTCTAAGACATCCACCGTACTCCCCGGACCTTGCTCCAACAGATAACCATTTTTTTCGAAATTTGGATAACTTCTTGCAAGGGAAAAAATTCGACTCCAATGGTGCAATGCAAATCGCCTTAAAGATTTTATTGATTCACATCCAAATGGTTTTTTTAATAAGGGAATCAATGAACTACCTGTGAGATGGCAAAAGTGCACAGATAACAATGGTTTATACTTTGATTTAATAAATATATTATATTCAAAAATATTCGACTTTTTATTCCTCCCACACCAAACACCAATTTCATATGTAAGGACCTAATATTAATGAGAAGTCACAAAACCGTACGCAGAACAATTATAAGTCAACTATTACTATGATGTTTTTATAATTTTTTTTTTTCATATTGATTTGTTCTGTCCGTAAGCCTACAAGATAAACACATCTAAAAATGGGTTCAAAAATTATCTTCTTTAGGTTAGCACTTTATTTATTATATTTCAGTCGGAAACAATTATTTTAATTATAAATGGCATTAGTATTTAATTCTAACCTAAAACTTATTATATGACTCTTTATATCAATCTTTCTATATATTTGAGCCATTTGCCCCTTGTGGGTTAGGCAGATATGTACTAGTAAGCTTCAAATCTAATGTCATTAAAAGTATTTCCAATACAGATAAACGAGATTCAGAAGCCCATGTACTTTCACAGTGCAACGGTCAACAGCAACACTGCGCCGGGTCACAAGTGAAAGCGCGACACAGGCGCACAGTGACGTCACAACTTGTGCACAGCCAACGCGCTTCATCACACACACCTTACCGTATAGGAAGCATTGTGCAACAAACTGTGCAAGAGATCGCGCCACAAAACATCTTAAGAAATCCAATTTACTTACAGTTCCGAAGATAGAGAATGTTTAAACGGTTCATTTAAATCAAAAAAGATACTTCAACGATATTTTAGTTTATATTTTCTTAATTGTAATTAAATATTGAATGCACAAATTAACGTAACATTTAAAAATATTTTGTGGAAACATTCAGTATACTGATACGTAATTATCACTCAATCCGTTTACGATTCAACCGAACATGAATTACACATCCCAGCAGAGCACAAGTAACGCGAGTTGCTATAAACGAGTAATATTGATTTGCAATTCACAGATCCGTCTACGCTTGTTAAAATAAAAAAAAAACAAATAGAATAGTAAAATTATACACATCTTATATAACCGGTCTCTAACAATATTTAATAAACTTTATATGCACAACCGCTTTCTATATTTTTGTCTATTCGGAAAAAAAACTAGATAGGGGCGCCCCCTACCTCCATCGTTTGATATAAATAGTTATGAAAATACACATACCTAAAATTCAACGATAAGCGGGCGCCAAGAGGTACCCTTGCTCATGTATACTTATGGAAAAATAAGAAAAAAATTATATCTTATTAATCTTTTTTATTATAAAATAAAATTCGAAAATTTTCGAGAGTTGTAGCGAATAGTAGTGCTACTTAGGTATCCGATACCAAAAAAAGATTGAACATAATTGAGAAGTTGTGGTCGTGGTAGTTGAAAATATCATAAAAGGTGTAAATTTTCGAAGATTTTCGAATTTAATTTTATAATAAAAAAGATTAGATATAATTTTTTTCTTATTTTTCCATAAGTATACATGAGCAAGGGTACCTCTTGGCGCCCGCTTATCGTTGAATTTTGGGACACGTTGTATAATGGGTGTTATTTTTTTATTACCTCTACAAAAATAACATTTTATTAAAGCACTCTTTATCTAATAGCCACAATTTTTTTTTTTTACATTATGATTTTGAAACTTTATTCTATAATATAATTTACTTCATTTGTAGATTGGCTTTCTAAGATCAGATTACTCTCCACAAATTGAATCCGTTCACGGTTTAGATTAGATTATGATTTATAGAATCTGACATGGATCATAGCACAATAATCTATCTTATTCCGCGCAACAAGAAAGTATAAATTAAATGTTAGCCGATAGTGCTGACTTTTAAATAAAACCTCCAATTTTCTATACAACTACAAGCAAAAGAACAAATAAAGGACAAGCCAAAGCTTGATTGCAGACGTTCATTTTTTTTGGCAAATATCCAATTGCAAAATATACAATTGTTCAAGCGGATAACTTACAGTCACATAGATATCATCACTTACATTTACGTACAAGGCCATTCAGTAGGTAGTTAAGTAAATAAATTATGCAATCTGAGAGGATACGACGGTACGATAAATTGTAGAGATAATAAATCTTAGTTACCTGTAGTTTATCCTCATCAACCTTGGACTCCGCCTGATTCAGCGCATCATCTTTAACTTGGCTGTCTGATGCTTGAGGCTGATTTGACTGTGATGTCGTCGTTGATGCTAATGGTGGAGGCACACCATGTAGAGCATGTGCATTAGCTACCGGCAGTGGCTCGTCCTACGAATAAAATAACACACTTAAATTTACATATCTAACAATAAACGAACAAGAGTTCGCTCTTCATAGCTAGAAGTCTTTTTAAAGTCCATACTTGGGTAAAGAACTAGCCCATAAAACAGAACGCAAGGAGAATGCTTCATCCCTAACCCATTGCACGGGCCTGTGCGGTGCTATTAGGGAATGATGAAAACGAATGCAGACGAAGATGGGACCAATATCTCAACATTTTTTCCAAAGCACGGCAAAGTTCGCGGACCGGCTTTTACAAATGTTACTTAACCTCACACGTTAAAGATCTTCAATAATCATCGTAATAGTTGAAGCAATTTTGATGATTTAATGAGTTAAACAGTAGCAGATTTTCCTTTAGTTAGACAACCTAAGCATGTGTATAGAAACGCAGAGTTAACAGTAATTAAAGCCTTTAACTATATTTTATAGCGATTGACAAAGTTAGATAAGTCGGTATAGTTTCCATTAGCCAATGGTTGCCTTGTAGTAATTGCTACCTTAGCAATAAGGCCGCCTTTTGAAGTATATTTATGTTTCTATTTGTTTTGTGTGTTTGTTTTAAGTACAAAAAATTGAAATCATCTTCATTTAGATATTATTTATATAAAGTATGGGCGACCAATAAAATAAAATCATTTTATCGTATTGATATTTACCGTAGTAATCAATAGATTAGTTAGTAATTTAAAAAAAAATATATATTTACTATTTTGTTTGGTACCAAGTCTGTCTAATAAAATAATATAATTATGTTGCTGTAGTTATTGCTTAGTTTTAGTTAATTAGTCTACAATAAAAAAAAACGACTTATAAATGACTCTACTTAATTTTACTTTTCTCTCAATTTAAATGAATTTCATAACTTAGCAAATAGTTTATTATTTAAATTGAATATTTCAACATAGACACAATAACCTTTAAAATTTTTAACAATAAAAACATTAAGAGTTACTACAATCTTGCGCCGTTCACTAAGCGCAAAAACTATAAACGTGCTCATCACAAAATGGCGGCTACAATTTGCATGCTGCTCAGTTCTTACGTAACTTCTAAGGTTACATGGAGTATGTTTATAACAATAATATGTGAACTGGTATTAAAGTTTGTCATTGTTCATGACAGTCTCAACATTCCCACTGAATAATCACTAGAATTGACTACTAATACAGTCATGCAAAGCATTTAAAAAACCTTCCAGTGGTGTTGCAAGGTCACTGGACTAGTAGACGTCACTCTATACAGCGACAATATCAAAATAAAATGTACATAATGTTATAAAATTAAGGTACATAATAGTGCAAATGACTTTGATTTAAATGAATAGTAACTTTTAAACTTAATAATCGAACCGATTAGGAGTTTTTTGGGTATTTTGCGAATACAAATTGCCATTAAAGTAATTATTATCATTACAACAACACACTTATGATTCATTAACAATAAAAAATGCCATGTGTTTTATTTTTAAAATATCGAGACGCATCACGTTTAACTTTATATAGACTAAAGCTAAAATTCATATTATCATCAATGTCTTAGACATTGAGTTAAGCACTGACTAATATCCAGAATAGATGTGCAAATTTTTAAATACTACTTATAAGATTAATAGGTAATGGATATTACAATATCAGAAAATCCTAATACAACAACGGCTTTCAAAGGCTCATTTAATTTCATCATCTACAAGAAAATTGTGAAGCACTTTTGGATTTAAAATTTGGTTTTAATTGAATTGCAATAAACGCATTTATAGCAGCATTTCTCTAATTGTGTTCTCCAGTAGCATATGGCTTCGCAAAGCATATACGAGTATTAAGGCTTAACCAAAATATTAGTCAAATTTAGGCTAATGATCCGAGTTGAGTTTTGTTTTATTTTACGGCACAGTATTAATTAACATTTTACTTCTAAACTTGTTCTTAATGTGCAAATGATGCTCAGTAAAACACTACGGTAGGTACCAACTGCAACGGAGCGAGTAGTGTACGCAACCGCTAGAAAATAACCGATAGAAAATGCCTATTACGTGGCAAAGACAACAACGTGATTGTCACATTGTGCACTACGCCCACAGCACTTTTACTGGTTTTACGAAACACTATAAACATTTAACAGTCTTAGTTACCATCGGAACATTACGAGGCAACAAGAAAATTACAACACTTGGCAAGTAATCACACTAAAACACGATAATATTAAACTAATAATGCTGCCACGCATTTAAGTTTACTCTAAAACATCTACCTATATATTATTGCACTAAGAAAAAAATAAAGAAAAGCAAAATCGGTCTGACTTTCATTCGAGTTTATTTAAATTTAAAAAGTTTTGATCGATCTTTCCATAAAGGAAACTATAAAAGCGACATCCGACTGAAGAAACTCCATCAAAATTTCAATATTAAAATCACCAATTAACTTTGAGGACTTTTGACTTATCTCGTTCAAACCTTAATTAAGCCTTTAATTATTGTGAAATATCTTATTACAGAGGTGAACCGCAGATTTGTATCTAATTATAATAACTTTATATTTTAATGGGTAATAGATTACTGGAATTAGGGAAGTAGTATCTCTCTCTAAAACCTGCTCTGTTGAAGAACCGTTATAAATATGCAACCCGTTTGTGGCCTACACTGGCGTCTTTGTTCCTTTGTTGGTATTAAGGCTAAGCACTGGCATTTAATGTGCTATACAAGTTAAGAATATTTCTAGAAAAGGAATCTGACCATGAATAGAAAATGTAAGCATAAACTCATATGGTTTATGAATTTGAAGAGATTTACGTTTTAATGAGAAATCATCCCGTAAATACATATCACAAAGGCAAGTTAGCATATTAAAAGTCATAATAAATAAGAAACTAATATTGAAATATGACTTCTGTTCGCAAATTGAAATCGTAATTATTGAATTTACATTTTCTGAGATCAGGTATCTTAGTTAATTTCAAAAGGACCTTTTAGAGAGCTTTGATTTTTATTTAGACTTATAACATAATTTCATAAAAATATAAATTATGAATATTAAAAAATAACAGCATATCTCAACGGTAAATATAACATCGTTATCAATTTACAATGGTAGCTGTGATCAGCGAATTATTATCCGGTAATACTAATTAAAATCACAGATAAATCGTTGACAAACAACCAAATGAGATGGAGATTCAAACAAAGATCATTGTTGGTCGCGTATGCGTAAAATTGTTCACTTCCGGCCGTTACAATACCTATCAACTAGTAATAGTACACGTGACAGAAAAAAACACGAAATTACATGTTATTATTTAAGTGCAACGTCAGCTCCGGTCACAAGGCTGGCTTTCCACTACTACCATTCAATAAATTGGGTTACCCGACTTAATCTTCTCTAATAATAATTTGCACAGGACTTCTCGTGCAGAATTTGTGGTGCTGTCCAATATTTGTAGTTTGTTAATTAAGACGTCATATTAATAACGCCATTTAACTATATTATTTCATCAACATTGTCTATCCTCTGGCATTTTATTTAATAACTAGAGAAAATATAGATATTTCTAAATAATAGTAGGTACCTTATACCTCTGCCTCTGATGACGATAACTAAAATAACTGAACCGTGTTAGCCATTACCTCAACCACTATTGACAACGTTTTTTATGTTTATAAAATAGCCATGTCGGCAAGAAGTGCTTGGTCGTAGACAAATTGCTAAATATCTAAAATCAACCATATAATGAGCAGTCTCGCAAAGTTAGCAAACAATTTCTATTTATTACATATAATAAAATACTGAATTTCTGTTAAATCCATGCCTTTTTATAGCTTCCACTAATCGAGTTAGTTTCAAATTCTTTGTCACAGAAAAATCGGAACTAAATTAGGTACACGTAATATTACCAGTTCGACATTTACGTGCCAAGTAAGTACGTGTCTAATTTGGAACACGATTGGACACAGCATTCAAGGACTCTATGCTCCTCAAATGTTTACATTCTATCGGAACATTATGCACTTTCAAACTGTTTTATTATCGTTCTCTATGATGGCTTGTCTAACTTCGAATACTCACAACATTGTTAAATGAGGTCAAATTATTGTTTATAATCTATAGAATACAAAGATAAAACATTTCATTTTTTGTTGGTATTTTACATTGAATAGGCTCCGAAAATACTGGGCCGATTTAAAAAATTCATTCGCCTACGGGAAACCACATTACACGCGGGTGACATGGGCTATAATTTACGTGGACAAAGTCGCTGAAAAACAGCATTAATATTCATGATATGATATGATATGATGTATACCCTTAATGCTATGATAGCTATTTTAAACTTACTGTATTCGTCTTATGAACCTATATTTACAAAACATCGACTTATGAAACTATTTTAACGCACTTTGTTTAATTGAAAGTATATTTTATGTATTGTTGTTTATGTGTCTCATATAAATTTTATCAAAATCGATTCAGCAGTTTTACTTTTGTATCAAAATAACCAAAACTAAAAACCGATTTAAGTAAATCTGTAGGTATACCATCAAAGTAACTCGAAGTCTATATAACTTTTTGAAGAAAATAATTTATATAGTCGAATAGTTAACTATTTTTATAAAGTGACAAACTGTTACTTCATTGGAACATTACAACTGTTTAATATTCAAAAGCAGATATATAAAATCCTATTTAAATACAATCCTAAATGAGGTCAGACAAGGATTCCATTATCCGCTCACTCTTAATCTGCTATACCTACTTACTAGAGGAAATTTCCAACATCCGCACTGGAACAGACGTGGACTTAATAAAAACGAAATGTCACGAAATTCGGCATGATGAATACAAAAGAGACTAAGAAATTAAAGATCTAAATTTAATGTTACTTTCTCCGTATTGAAATATCAAAAGGGCAGCATTACGCGAAAACAAGATCAATATAAGCCTACTATAGCATAGTAAGCCCAGATTCAATTGAAGATCGATCTTATCTTAAAT